TAAAAGTTTTCCACTAGTAATTCTAGATATAGACAAGTGTTTAAAACGAAACATAGATGGACTAGCTCTGCTATCTATCTGTCATATATGAGCATAAATTGTTGCAAAAAAGTGATGAGATGCGCCATACATCAATGCTGAGAATTGAATTCCTAATCAATCGTCGATTCTTGTACTGGGATACTGGAGTCCTATAGTACGACCCATGTTCAATAAATTTGAATAGGGTATTTCAACAGCAAAAAATATTGATCGATAAAAATATTTTCAAATAACGAGCAGAATAATATCGGCAAACTTAGTAGGTTTCCCAGCACCTCTTCAATTGCATGTTGAATAGATATTTTCTCTTACGGCCTGTTGTCTGAGAGTCTCAATGGAGGGGTCCGCATCACGACTCACGGCTAAAAATTTGGGTTTTTCACGCCTCACGGCTAACTTTTTTCACATTTCCACGACTCACGGCTAATTTTTCAGACGTTTCACGGCTAATTTTTCTCATTTTTACGATTCACGGCTAATTTTTTAGCCGATTCACGGCTCACGGTTAACCCCATTGAGACCCTCTTGTCTTGGCGCAGAAATTTCTCTCAACGCTCAGATTCGCTTTGTTCATTTATACTTTTGTTAATATAAAATTAAATTTATATTTGCAGTTGTTGTTACCTTTAAGAAGCTGTTATAGCTTATCAACACAAGTTTCCACAACCAATTGTAGAACAGGCAAACGACAGCCTAAACTGGTTCTAATTGAGTGTGAATCGACTCTCGGTCAACGCTCTTGAGAAGTCAGGCAATGCAAACGTGTGGGGCAGTTTTGGACATTTTGACGTTTTCATGTCTTAACTACCATGACGTCGATGTGTAAATGGCCTTTTTTGTCATAGTGTATTTACTAAGGATACATATATATTGTTTTATTATAAACATACTAATGGTCTATCACTCATACTGCGCTGTGATTGGCTACTCTACTAATGGTCTAATTTGTGATAGACCACTCGCGGGAAAATCAAAATAAATAAATTATAAATTATTTTAAGGATATTTCAATTTTTTTTAGACCCGGGGATCGGGGATTTCAATTGACTAGTGCATTAACCACGGCGGAGAAGCAAAATCGTATGCATTCAACTTCTTGCTTAAAGAAGCAAATCGCTCAACAGTCGGTCACGCTTTTGGCTGCGCAGTGACATAGTGAGGAAATTTTAAATGGGTCATGTTATTTTTGATCGTAGTTCGTCAGCAAAACTAAAAGTTTTCCACTAATTCTAGATATTGACAAGTGTTTAAAACGGAACATAAATGGACTAGCTCTGCTATCTATCTGTCTTATATGAGCATAAATTGTTGCGACATCAAGTGATGAGATGCGCCACGTATCAATGCTGAGAATTGAATTTTTTTTAAATCAATCGATTCTTGTACTGGGATACTGGAGTCCTATAGTACGACCTATGTTAAATAAATTTGAGTAGGGTATTTCAACAGCAAAAAGTATTGATCGATAAAAATATTTTCAAATAACGAGCAGAATAATATCGGCAAACTTAGTAGGTTTCCCAGCTCTTCTTCAATTTGATGTTGAATAGATATTTTCTCTTACGGCCTGTTGTCTTGGAGCAGAAATTTCTCTCAACGCTCAGATCCGCTTTGTTCATTTATACTTTTGTTAATATAAAATTAAATTTATATTTGCAGTTGTTGTTACCTTTAAGAAGCTGTTATAACTTATCCAACACAAGTTTTCACAACCAAATGTAGAACAGGCAAACGGCAGTCTAAAATGCTTCTAATTGAGTGTAAATCGACTCTCGGTCAACTCTCTTGAGAAGTCAGGCAATGCAAACGTGTGGGGCAGCTTTGGACATTTTGACGTTTTCATGTCTTGACTACCATGACGTCGATGTGTAAATGGCCTTTTTTGTCATAGTGTATTTACTAAGGATACATATGTTTTGTTATAGAAATGGTATTGAATAGAATCTCATACCTCAATTTTAAAATCGTGCGCTGGTTGGTCAGCACGTCAACCGGATGAGAGGGTATTTCAAGTGGTATTCAACGCTGAGAACCCTGAATTCAACGCCCCGCCTTAGATCATTTTTAAAAAAAACTTGCGTGCATTAAATAAGGACGTATATGTTATAGAAATGATATTGAATAGAATCTCATACCTCAATTTTAAAATCGCGCGCTGATTGGTCAACACGTCAACCGGATGAGAGGGTATTTCAAGTGGTATTCAACGCTGAGAAACCTGAATTTAACGCCCCTCTTTAAGTTAACTTATATCAGTTCAAAAAGACTTGCGTTATTTTAACAATTCATTCACCAAATGAGTGCTTGCTCTGGCAAAATTGATTATCCAAATATTTCAGTGTCTTTAGATTCTGATTTTAAAAAGTTACTAAAGCCTTTGACTCTTGCTAGTACAAGAAACTACTTCGTCCGTAACAACAGCAATGGCAGAAAAAACAGTGTCGGATTTCCAGCCTCATACATGTTCAAATGCGCGTTAAAATCCCCGATCTTTTCCCCGCTTCGAAAACAATTCATCAAAATCCCGACCCATGACGGGGCAATATTGCTGTTAAAAAAAACGCTAAAAACGCGTCACGTCCCCCGTTCAGTGCCCCGCTAGCCCCGGAGATTGGAGGGCGGGGGTTTCTATTGACTAGTGCATTAACCACGGCGGAGAAACAAACTCGGATGCATTCAACTTCTTCCTTAAAGAAGCAAATCGATCTACAATCGATCACGCTTTTGGTTGCGCTGTGACATAGTGAGAACATTTTAAATGGGTCATGTTATTTTTGATCGTAGTTCGTCAGCAAAACAAAAGGTTTTCCACTAGTAATTCTAGATTTTGACAAGTGTTTAAAACGGAACATAGATGGACTAGCTCTGACACACTTGGTAGGTTTCCCAGCTCTTTTTCAATTGCATGTAGATATTTTTTCTTTCGGCCGGCCTGTTGTCTTGGAGCAGAAATTTCTCTCAACGCTCAGGTGAGCTTTGTTCATTTGCACTTTTGTTAATATAACATTAAATTTATATATATGCTGTTGTTGTTACCTTTAAGACGCTGTTATAGCTTATCAACACAGGTTATCACAACCAATTGTAGAACAGGCCAACGGCAGTCCAAAATGCTTCTAATTGAGTGTGAATCGACTCTCGGTCAACGCTCTTGAGAAGTCAGGCAATGCAAACTTGTGGGGCAGTTTTGGACATTTTGACCTTTTCATGTCTTAACTATCATGACGTCGATGTGTAAATTGTCTTTTTTATCATAGTGTATTTAATAAGGACGCACATATATTTTTATAGAAATGGTAATGAATAATATTGTACAATATAAGAAGCATAAATTACCATAGTGATTAAAAAGCAGTCTTCACTATTTTCTCACTCATCAGGGGAAGGGGAGGATATCATTATATAATTCTATGCATTGCAAATATTAAAAAAATGGAGAAAAAAGCATTTAGCAATCTTCGCATCTACAAAAGCAGAGTTGAACTATTTGTTTGTGCTTGCTGCTGTATACAGTGGAACTTTTCCACAAATCATTTTCGCCACAGGCGTATTTGTCGGGTGCTATGATCAACTGGTACATTGCTGTCCKTGCTCTCGATTCCATTAAATGTTCAAGGGGACGTTGGTATAAGATTGAATAAAAATTTTTCTAAAAAAATACAGCATTTTAAGTAATGAAATAAAAAGCTTTGAAACTTAAAAGGGATATGAATATCCGGCATTTAATGCGATCGTATTTTCATCATAAATGAGGAAAGATGGGGTAGATTCAAAAATCGATGGGTTTTTTTATATTTCTCAGTTTTAGAGATAAATGTTAAGATGTTATTAAAATATCTCCATTTRTATATCATAATTAAGGGAATGGAAAGATCACGCTATCGTTGAAGAAAATTTATTATTCCCAAACACAAACAAAAGTTCGTAAGTGATGCCGTTTGACTTCCGCCTTTAATCATAATTGTATGAACCACATTTTACTACAGGGCTAACCTTAGATTAATTTTTTGTCTCTCATCTATATGATTAAATTCTACCAGATACTCGAAGGGAATTGAAACGAAAAGCACCGTTTAATACTTCGAAGTATGCAAATGGATTACAACCCAATATTCACCATACTTGGTGATTTGTCAAAATTTCGATTCAAAATAGCCACTCTCCTTTTGATTCTCTGATTCTAAGTAACAGMRGATRTTTTAGGACTAAACGTTAAGSKYTTTTAAAGCATAATCCTTAACYCCTCGCACAAACGTCTTYCCTGTTCTTTCTAATAMGGGGAAGTTTTTCATTGGAAGAAAATATTTGGGTGTCAARCTCAGCCCATCTGGTCCAGGAGGCCACTGTCTCTTACACCATTCCCTTATCTCTAGAACTTTTGCCTCCTCGTCCSAACCATCACTTTCTGTATCCTCGCGTARAATTAGGCATGCGCAGACCTCCTCGTGCAACTGCTGATCAGGAATTCCAACCACAACAACATCTGCCACTTGTGGGTGCTGCAACAGAACTTTTTCAATGTGGGCAGGAMAAATCTTYRCGGTTGCTCGTTTGATAATTTCTGTCTTTCTTCCAATCATCTCGATCTTACCATCATCATACATGATTCCTGTATCTCCCATGTGAACCCAGCCTGTCGATGATTTGGTTCGCTTGGTAGCTTCAGGGCTACCCAAGTATTCCAAAAAAACCGAGGCATTTCGCGCACAGATCTCTCCAGGAGTTCCTCTGGATACCAACTTACTTTCTTCGTCGACAATTTTAACTTCAACACCTTCTTCAATGGTCAGTTTGGCGTACTTTTCTTCTACAGCAGTTTCTTTGTTTACTATCATTTTTGCAAGTAACCACGACTCCGTAGACGCATACGATAGTACTATTGCTACTTTAGGGAATATTTTGGTGAGTGCTGCCACTTTATCCAAGCTGTACCGCTGACCAATCATACTAAACACACCAATGTGACTAAGGTCATATTTTAGGTGCATCGAGCCCGTTAAGAGCTTTTGGACCAAAACCGGATTGAGTAAGCACACTGTGCACTTTTCTTTTTCCCAGATTTTAAAAACACCCTCGCATAACGCCTCGGAAACAGCCATTTGGGTGGGAGCTTTTACTGTAGATGTGTTCACAAAGCGCAGGTTAACAAGGTTCCCATCATAGCCACCTCCCCAGGACACTGGACGGTCATTGTAGCAAATCTCTTTTCTAAGACCAAAGGAAGCACCAGTGAAAAAATTTAGAATAGAATGCGTGGTTAGTTGTACTGCTTTTGATTCCCCTGTGCTACCTGAAGTAAACAATGCCACAATAGGATCATCAAACTGAACTTCGTTTTGAGCTTTTTTAAGTTTCTCTAGGTCTTGGGACTGGCCACTTGTCATGAGGCCCTCGTAGGTAATAGATTGGTCGCCTCCACACTCCCCAGAAAAGGTACTCAAAGAAATAACAATCTGCTTKTCAATGCTGTTATCTATATTGTGTTGAGTCAGCAGGTTGATTCCTTCAAACAGCTGCTTCCTTTGTGATTCCTTCATTTCTGGATCGTAAGCAATCATTCTACAGTTAAGTGTCTTTAGAAGTCTTACTTTRTCAGGCGTTACMTCTCCTGSACCCAGTAGGATGGCATTAGAACCGATGCGGTGCAGAGCCATCACAAACACAATGTAGCGCAGACTTGTTTGTCCTACTAACAACACGCGTTGTCCACGKGATAGACCAAGCTCAAGAAGGGATGCAGCAAGGTAGGTGGATCTTCAAGAAAGAAAACACAAGGTCAAGGGTATATTGCAGACCACTGGGGATGAGATTTATCAACTTTCATAAAAGTAAATCCTGGATTTGATCTTGTCCCAAAAGAAGTATTCCAGATAGTGAACACAATAACCTCCAGAAAACAAACAGACAAACAAACAAAAAACAATGTGATCATGCACAAAAATGCTTTCCAAATCCCACATCCTTCATTCCCTGATTTTGTTATGGCCTGGGACTAAATCATTAAAACAAGTGCAGTCTAAAGACTGGCCTAACATGCAACCTATTTGAAAAAAGGTTTTCGGATAAAATAGCGAATATCAATCGCCGAACGACTATTGCCCGACTGAAAGTAGCCATGGGTTGATTTATACTGTAAGATAGTCTGTGGTGAGAATTGGTTTTATTTTGTCTCCATTTTAATGCAAGGTGAATTAAATAAGTAAAATTTTGTTGTCGAAACAGTGTAACCATAGTCCCTTTCAGTCGTGCAATAACTCTTCGACAATCGATGCTCGCCCTTCTACCCGACAACGTTTATTGAAATAGGTGTATACATTCTTGCACTGGTATAAAAGATCTTGGCAAATATTTAACTTTGATAATGAAATAAAGGGATTGTGTTGCACTAGGAAACTCACCTGTCTCTGTATTCAGCGAACGTCATGGCCGATCGATTCATGTCCATATCATACATGATCACTGCTTCAGTGTCTGGATACTGTTCAGCCTTGGAGTCAAGCATTTGATGCCAAAGTCGACCATCCATGGGGCTCTTATGGGGTTTATGCTCATAGCTCATCTTCGACATCTTGTCAATGACACGTTCTTCCTGTGGTAAAAACAACTCAGTGTAAGTTAGTTTGATACCTGTCGATATTTTTATTTACAGATGCAAAGAAAGGTGTTTAACTATCATTTCATGGATCTCACTACTCCATTGAAGCACACGGGTACTGGTAGCTTTCAAGATAGCGCTTAGACTCTGACGCTCATTGACATCTTTTTGTGTGAGTCTACCGCGAACTGTGTGTGCGTTTGTAAGATGGTTGAGCTGCTGTCTCAGCATTTACTTTTGTGACATCTTAATTGCAACTCTCCAAGGAAGATGGAAGAAACGTCGAGCAAACGTACTGTAGCACAAGTACAGCACCATGAGACAAGTAAAGTAAAGTATTATGGATAATATGATTGACCATGTGACCTTGGTATTCCTGTGCTATCCATAAGAAACTTATGTGTAATTTTAGTTGCCAGGTTACTTTGTAGGTATGCACGTGATTGGCTGATTATTATAGTATATTTGACAGGGCTACCTTTGCCCTGGTAGCTGCAAAAATGTGTGATTGGATGGGAGATTTTAGTACTCTGAGCATGCGCTTATGTTTTATTCAGTTACATAAAGCACACGTCCTCCCACATGGTTCTTAACAAGCAAATGTATTAGTATATAAGTCAAGCAAAAAGTGTTAGTATACTATGATATGCCGCAGACTCGGAGGTAGACTCATATGACGTATGTTAATTTAATGAATGTCATGGCGTCATGTGTGACGCAATGACACAGGGATCCCAATTGGAGTTGTCTGATTTCCGGTTAGAAAGAACATCACATGACAGGAATGGTTGCGGATTGAACTTCCGGTGTTCCAAACGCGACATGACACACAGATTGCCAAAAAGGTAAAACTAAAGTCGGCCTAGCCTATGGCTAGCCCGACTAATAAATGTCAAAATGGCAAAAAAACTGTACAAGAGGGATGTTCAGAGGAAAATCTTTTAAAATATTGAATAAACATTGTTCAAAAGACATAGAACATCTTGAGCAATGCAATCAAAAGCGTTCAAACGAAGAGAAGGGCCATGAATATCCAGCATTCATTGCGATGGTATTTTCATCATACATAAATAAAATGAGGTGATTTAAAAAATCGATATTTTCTGATTTCTTGGTTTTAGAGATCAATTTTAACATATAAAAACACAAATGCATTTGTATAACATAAGGGATTGTAAAAAGTACGTTATCCCTTTAATATTCTCAAATACAAACAAAAATTCTTAAGGGATGCTTTTTAACTTCCCCCTTTAATTACACGTGCCCTGCTATGCAGGGGACGTGTAGTAAAATGCTGTCACTTTCTTGGTTTGTAGTCGTCGTCGTCAGTTTTTTTTCACAATGTCGAAAGTTTGGCTTCGGTACATCTTCGTAGTCAATCAAATTCTGAATTATTTATCCGGTAGCCAATCACATTGCGTTGTGTATTCCGAACGCTATAGGCTACCCATAATCCCTTTCACTCACAATTTCAACTCGGTCTGCACTGTCTTTCTTCTAGCAAACATGCGACAAAACATGAAGGCTTACGACCAAAATCTGCCACTCATTCCTCGTCTGGGTGTTAGGATAAAGGGTATGTTGAATTATGATGACGAGATCTCAAATACAGAGATCGAGGACACGCTTCGATTCGTGAAACAACGGCCGTAAACCCTTCTAGTTGTATATATATTTTTCTCCACTCGCTTATTATGATTGAATATCAATACAACTCTTAATAGGATAGAAAATGCATGCTTAATAGTTTTATGGCTATTCAAACATCTGCAATGGATATATTGATTTTGTTATGTAGAAGTGCAAAAAAAGTGTTACTGTCATAACAGAAAGTTTATAATAAAGCGTCACGTTGTAACCAACTTGTTGGTGCCATTAATTTCGCCAAGTACTCGTACACATAATGAACTCATCAATATCTTTATTTCTATCTCGAAGTAGTTTGAGTAGTTTGAAGAAGGTTCAATACTAGCATAAATACATAAAT